GGCCCAGAGACAGTGTGTACAGTCACTGGTTTGGAAGGTGAGAATTTGGGATGGGAATCACGGAGCAGACAGTGTTACCATCCATCGGCAGCAGGGAGCGCTAACACAGGTTGACGAGGTGAGGACGGAACGTCAGCCGACGTGGCGTCATCACGGAGGTCGGCGTGGCAGACACACCGAGGTTAGCTCCGTGGTCTTTTCAGACGGTGTGGAATCGGGATGTAACGATAGATGGTTTGAATTTTTCACCATAGGATTTTGTCTGGATTTTTTTTTTCTTTCTTTCTCAAACTGTGACCAAATCCAACGAACCTTTTTAGTCAGAACTCACAATTTAGTTTTTGGTTCAGGATTCGATTTTATCACAATTTCTGTGTCAAATATCATCATCAACTGACCATGGTCTGTGAACCTCATCAACTGACATTGTTCTCTTCAATAACAGACCATCACCACTGGTCTGCTCTGGTTAAACTGGTCAAACTGGTCTGGTTAAACTGGTCAAACTGGTCTGGTCTGGTTGACCTGGTCAAATGTCAATATGTGAAAATATTGAAATATGGAGAGAGTGTGTGTAACCGTCCTGGTTTTTGTCCTCTTTACCTCTTTGTCGTCCTCATCTATGTGCTTGATCTTGGTGTAGTCTACCGGCAGGTTCCAACAGTCCGGCGCGTCTCCTATGCCGTAGCAGCGGGAGCCCAGCAGGGCGGCCTGCCTCTGGGGCGACATGGGCTCAAGGGGGGTGAGCACAGAGTCTCCTCCCCCCGCATCACCGCTGCACAGACGCTTGCTCATACTCAGGTCCAAGGTCCCATTCTCATCAACATCCAGACCAGGGCTCTGGAAGGTGTGTGTGTGTGTGTGTGTGTGTCAGTGAGGTCAGGGGGGTCAGGGGGGTCAAAGCAGGGAGAGAGAGGGAGAGAAAAAGAGAGTTTCCAGATAAATATAAAATATAATTGAACCAATTGGCCTGATGAAGGAGGAGGAGGAGGAGGAGGAGGAGGAGGAGGAGGCGGAGGAGAAGGGGGGGGGGGGGGGGGGGAGGAGGAGGAGGAGTCCTCTGATGTCCTCCAGCCTCTCTGCTCACAGCAGGTTTTTAACCGGCAGCTGATAACCAAGTGAAGTTGATCTGGACCCAAACTAACAGCTGACAACTACAGTGTATTGCACGTTCGTCGTGGTGAGGGAGGTCCTCCTCGTCATCCACCATGCTGTACTCACTGTGGGGGGAGTAAAAAAAAGTACTTTTAAACCAGATTCTAACACACACTCTCTCTCTCTCTCTCGTTCCGGCGCCCCCCGCCCGCCCCCCCCCCCCCCCCACGCCCGAATGCCCTCGTGACCTCCGTAACCCTGGCAGGACGGAAGGTCACAGAGGAGCCTGCGTTGATCCCGGCTCTGGTCCCATCTCACTTTAACACCAGTGTGTGTGTGTGTGTGTGTGTGTGTGTGTGTGTGTGTGTGTGAGGGGGGGGCACCTCAGTATATCATCAGGACTGTAGTGTCGCAGTATGTATCGTATCGTGGTACGTGTCGTATCGACAGATTCTTGCTGATACACCTTTCCATTTAGTCACAGACAAAAACAGGTGAGAAACACTGACATCTAGCTGTTGATTCTGGTACTTTTGTTTTAGCTAAAAACCAGAAAAACGCGCTCGATTCACACCGTGTCAAACGGCGGTCGGCCCCGTCCTGCTGAGTCACTCAGATCTTTAATGGATCGGCCGTCTACGCCGTTGTGGCTGTGCACGAGGTGAGTGCACGAGGTGAGTGCACGAGGTGAGTGCACGTGACCTCTCCCAGTGTCAGTGTGATGAAAGTCAAGTCTGTCAATATTTAAGTTTCCCGCGGCTACAGCAGGAAGAGAGAATGAATTCTGCGATGACGACACTTGTGGTTACATGAGCGGCGGACATGTTTATTACAGTGAGGGTGCGGGTGTCACGACAGGCCCCTCCTACCGGCGAGCACAGGTCCTGAGGCTTCCCGTCCAAGCCGTGGGGCATCTCCCTGCAGCGGGTGGACAAGTTCAGGATGGCCGTGGCCGCCATGTGGGCCGCCTCCATGTCGTGGCTGTAGTCGAAGCTGCTTTTGCTGCAGGTGCTGCTGGCGCTGCTGCCCCCGCCCCCTCCTCCTCCGCCGGCACCACCGCCTCCACCCCCGCAGCTAAGGTTGCTGCTGCTGCTGCTGGGGGCGTAGGTGCTGGTGGTGCTGCTGGCCGAGCTGGAGTTCTTACAGTAACGTTTGGCTGTCAGGAGAAAGAAAAGCACAAAAACATTTAGAATTCAGAAACGCCAGAGTGAATGTGTTTCAGGCAGAAAGAAAAAAAGAGGAAGACGACGTTTTTAAAGTTTTAGATTACAATTAATTAATTTTCCGATTCTGATATCAACCGATACCGATATAGCCGGGCAGTGGTGCCCTGGTGGTGAAGGAAGGTAAGTACCGCCTGCTCATTCAGGTGATGGGTTAAAGCAGTGTTTCAAAATGATTTTCTACCATGCCCCCCCCTAGTGGACAGAAGTCATTTCATTTTCCCAATTAAAATTCAGATGAGTCCCTGGTAATATTTACTTATTTATTTATCCGTACAAACCACTGTAAGAGTTGCTGCACCAGCATTCAGCAACACGCCCCTCACTATGAAAATAAATGAATAAAATGAGCTGCAATGCTGCCATCTAGTGGCTTTCACTTTCATATACAGCCGTTTTCCCCCAAAACTGTTTCTAGGACACACATCATTTGGCGAATCCCAGGCGTTGTGGTTAGAGATGGTGACATGTTCAGTGCCCCTCAGTGGCACCTTGGGGCTGCAGGATTCGAACGTGCGACCTTCTGGACCCGAGTGCGTTTCCATGACCACCAGGGCACCGCTGTAGGACGTAAAGACTATTGATTGATGTGGATTCCTACCGTCGTATCCTTTGGGTGAGGTGTCCCTCTGCCCGTGCATCTTGGGTGCGATGGCCCGTTTCCCGTACACTTGGTGGTTGTTGCTGCCGTCAAAGGCGCCGTAGTCGAAGCTGGTCTTGGAGTACTTCTCCAGCTCCTTGGCCAGGTTGGAGCGGGGCGTGCTGGTGGAGACATTGTTCTTGTAACCATACTGTGGATAGTCCAGTTGTTTGACAAAGCACATTGGCCTGGAAAATAAATGACGAGGGGGTGGAAGTTGGAGCGAGGCAGTCAACATTGCCCAGGGGGAGGAGAGGGAATCTGGGGGTCATTAAAAAAAAAAAAAAAAAAAAAAAAAAAAAAAAAGAATGGTCGGATGGAGTGGAGGGGACAGGCTGCCCTGGTGAGACCACATACTGTTGGAGATGGTTCTGGTGGATGAACACGGATGTCAGGTTTCCTCAAAAACCACAAAAAGTAACACGTTATTTTTCAATAAACATTCAATCAATTAAACTCAGGAAAGGTTTTACTTTACTCTTCAAACTCTCAGGAGAAAACAAGGAGGAGAGACTAGAACCTGGAGCACGGTACCAGAGCAGCAGAACAGCTTCTGGTCACCATCACAGAACTGTTGGTTTCTGGAAGTTCTGACACAATTTAACTGTCTCTCTCTCTCTCTCTCTCTCTCTCTCTCATATGGGCTGGAACCAGGGACTCGAGTTTGTGACTCGGACTTGAGACTTGACCTGGACTTGTGACCAAAGACTTCAGGCTTGACTTTTTTTTTTTCCTCATATCCGGTAGTTTTTAAAACAAAAAAATTCCCACAAACTTTACTCAGTCACAGGTTCTTTCTTGAGTTAAAAAAAACTTTCAAAATAAAGTTCTCGGAGGTTGAAGATCTGACTCTGACTAATGAATAGTTCTGCAGTTCGCATCATTAGTATCATATTATATTTTGGTTGTTTTTTTTTTTAAAAAGATAAGAACGATCCATGACCGCTCTTTTGTCCTTGTGTCAAAATAAAATATCCAATAATTATAAATTCAAATAAAGTCCAACAGGAAACTTTGTCAACTTTGAGAAAACAGGAAGGGATTTGAACCGACAACACATTCAGAGGCAGAGTGACATTTTTTTTTTTTTTCCTGGACAAACAAAATCATCCGCTAACACTACGTGGAGGGCGGAGCTACCTCAGGACTCTGTCCGACGCCTGGTTGGACTTGGGGCCGCTGCAGCTGTGGTGCTTTTCGTGAGCTTTCGCCAGTTTCTCAGCAGCAGCGATGGGACATCCAGACAGACTGGGGAGACAAAGACACCTCAGTGACAACGTGGACCTGAACACCTGAGGGAGGTCAAAAGGTCACAGGTGTCAGGAGAGACACACAGTCAAACAGATCTGCCAGACGAACGCCAAACCGGTGCACGTCTGTGTGTCAGCCAATCAGGAGTAGGAGAGGGAAAAAACAAAACAAAAAAACTAAAGAGGCTGGAAATATAACTTCTAAAGCATATGTGTCAAACTCAAGGCCCGGGGGCCAAATGCGGCCCGCTAAACTGTTTTGTGTGGCCAGATGACCTATGACCTATAGCCAGATTATCTTTAAATAAAAAAAAGGAAATGGACTGAATTTTCTTTGAATAAAGTTCATCCATCCATTTACCGGGTCACGGGGGCAGCAGTCTCCACCCACATCACACTGCACCGTACCAACCCCCCCCCCCCCTGCCCAGGAGGTCAAACCTGAGGTTCCACACCAACGACAAAGACGTTGTCTCTGGGCCAAAGCGCCACTTTGACTGAGGTAAATTAGTAAAAATGAAGTAAATTAGTAAAAATGAAGTAAATTAGTAAAAATGAAGTAAATTTTTTCACTGTGTCCTGGTACCAAACGACCTATGGACTGGTACTGGTCCGTGAACCGGGGGTTGGGGACCCCCTGATCTATACAGTCTTCCGGTTACAACCGGTCCTTCAAGGGGAACTGTGTTGCTGATGTGGCCCCCTGGTGGAAATGAGTTTGACCCCTTCGTTTCATTCATCATTTTTAACACTTTGAGCAACGACACAATTAGCAACAGCTCGTAGCTTCCTGGCTGAGCAGCTGCACACAAAACCAAAACGCACACACACACACACACACACGCGCGCGCGCGTGTGTGTGGCTGTTAAACTTCCCCGTGACAATTAAGTGACCAAATGTGACAAAAGTTCACGTTGTTATTCTTAACCCCTGTTACTCTCCATCCCGTCTGTCGGCTGCGGCGTGTTCGGCCCTGCTGGAGAAACGATCTGTGACAGTGGCCTGAAGCCAGTGTGGAGCAGCTGTCATCACACACCGTGAGAGGATGAGAGATCTGGAGGTGTGCATCACGTCTTTCAAGTCAAAGTGAAAGTTTAGGCCGTGTGTCCGAGTGTGTGTGTCCGAGTGTGTGTGTGTGTGTGTGTGTTCCCATGCAGCAGCTGAGCCTCTTGAGCGCAGCATGAAAACACTGCGGTCCTCCCAGGTCTGCAGCTCTCCTGTCACCCAGGCTGAGTGGCAGGAAGGTGCTAATGGCCGCTGCGACGCCCCGACTCCCCGAGCATCTGCTGCGGGTGACACTCCTCCCTCACTGTCACCTCACCCCGTCTGACAGCGGCGGCACAAACCCCTGCTATTTCACTTTCTCCAAACCCGAACCTGACGGCTCCGTGAGTCGATGAATGATTCATGCTGCCGAGGTGTGAACGGCTGCATGCCAACGAGTCCCCGCTCAACTTTAGGAATGTTGAGCAGACGAATCACTTGGACTCCGCCCCTCTGTGTAACAGTATCACACCAAAAAGAACAACAAACTAAGAAAAATGTGACTTTAATAAATGACAGCTGTCTCTGGGGCGGCCAATCAGTGTTGAGCCTCGACCCTCCACACAGCGTTCAGAATTCGTCTTTGTTATTTTTAACAATTCATTTATTTATTTTTCAGTCGTATAATGAGCGACAACATCGCGCGGTGACATCAGTGTAAAGAAAAGTCGCCTGAGTTTAGTCCGAGAAACGAACTAAAGAAACGCGTTCCTCAAATCAAAGTTTTAAGGTTTTTCTTTTGTTTTGTTTTTTTTAACCTCAGTGAATTCAAGACTCTCAAAATAATATTGGTCAAATCTTTATATTTATTTATTTTTTTAGGTCACTTGCTCTGACAGGTCTGTTATGTCATTATTTTTATTTTTTTTGTTTTGTTTCAAAGCCATAAAAGTGCACCAGTGCACTCATCAAATTTGAATTTCAAGAGCGTTCATAACACCACCTGCAGGGGAGTAATGGGACTGACATGCTCTCTTTACAAAGGCACAATTAAAGCTGACCATATTTTATAAAAAGAACAAAAAACAGATTCAAATTTTATAGAAAAAATATAAACAAAAACAAAAATAAATATAGGGATGTCCGATATTAACTTCCAAATACTTAATTCCAATTCCGAAATCAGCAGATACCGATATAGCGGGGCAGTGGTGCCCTGGTGGTGAAGGAAGTTAAGTACCGCCTGCTCACTGAGGTAATGGGTTAAAGCAGTGTTTCTTAATTATTTTCTACCATTCCCCCCTAGGGGGCAGAAGTTCCCCCCCCCCAATAATATATATATATTTATTTATCAGTACAAACCACTGTCTGAGTTACTGCACCAGCGTTCAGCAACAATCCACTGATTATTAAGATAGATTCAGAAAATGAGCTGCAACGCTGCCATCTAGTGGCTTTCACTTTCATGTACAGGTGTTTTTCCCCAAAAGGTCACACATCCTTTGGCGAAACCCAGGCGTTGCGTTATTGGGTTTCCATCATCGGAGGAAAAAAAAAAAAGATAACGATTCTTACAGATATTAGATAATTATGCTAATATCAGGCCGACGATATCGATGGGCCGATATTATCGGATATCCCTTAATAAATAAATGTAAAACAGATAAAAGAAAACGTCTTTCATCGACAGACAGTTTCCTACAGACAGGCCGTCTGTCTCTTACCTTCTGTGGGAGTTTCTGTTGCTATTGACATGACCGCGTCCCGTGCAGCCAGGCGTAGGACACTTTAGAACATTCTCATACATCGCCACGACTTCACACACACACACACACACACACACACACACACACACAGGAGATAGGAGTAAAAGACAGGGAAGGTTAGGAGCCGCGCACAATCAAGCTGTATTAGTCTGTGAGCAGCTTGGCA